TGGTTACATTACACAAGCCGTGAGGTTTTTAAACTCGTGACAAGGGACAGAAGGGATATTCTACTCATTGCAAGGAAATCCTCACTTAAGCTTCAATGAGCCACAATTACTTAAAACCCATGAACCTTCAGCTGATCGTCTTTAGCCAGTCCAATCTGCAATGAGAAAGGGGGAAAACTTTAAAAGGGTGAAAGAGGATGAGCCAATGTTTTCCCACTTCTCCAGACACAGGCAGGAGGCTCTGAGCAGAGCAGGGGCACACAGCCCAACTGCACTGGCTCCCCAGGGGACCCAGCAAGAACCACTCTGCCAAACACCCAGAGGCTAGAGGTCTGCTCCAAGAGGCTGGTGACGGGACACCTGAAAGCTGTCTCGACATTAAGGACAAATGCCACGACAGGATTTAGTACTTAGAAATGCCCTGATTTCCCTCCTGCTCTCCAAGAACCCAGCAGCTGACTGGTCTTAGCATGTCCACAGGCAGCAAACCTCTAAGAATAATACAAATTGCTTGGAACCACCAAGCTCCTCCTAGCACACACTGGGCTGGCCCATGCCCTAAGGACCTGATCTCAGCTGGAGAAAGAGGAGGCAGAAATGAGACTGCAGGCCCCACTCACCTCTACCAGAAACTGGCATATGTTCTTGCGTTGGTCACCCTGGAGCTGGATTACTTCTCCATATTCTGGATGCTCGATTACAGTACCATTGCAGGCAAATTTCTGCAAGCACAGAGGGAGAACACGTCAGACTTCCGGTTCTCGGCCCCTGTGGCCAGGGCAACCTGGTTTTCCCCCGTACCGCCTCGGACCTACCTTCTTAAACGCCTTCACCAGTTTCTTTTTATCGTAGTCATCAGCGATCCCTTGGACAGTGGTAAGGGTCTTCCTGCCGTTTCTCTGTTGGATTCTTATATGGATATAATCCTCAGTGCCGGCAGGAAGCAGGTCATCACCCTTACTTGCATCAGCAAAGGGGTCTGGGAAGAAAAGCGCAGCTTGTTCGCGAAGGGCTTTTGGCTCAGCTGGGGCCGGGAGCGGCCAGGGGCTGGGGCCAATCGGACGCGCCCTTAGCGGTCGCCCGGGGCAGGTCACTCAGGGACGGCGGGAGCCCGGGGCGAGGAAGGCTGGGCTGTGGCCCTGGACCCGCCTCTTCGGCCGCGCGGGCCGATCACGTGCCAGGGAGCCCAGGCAGCAAGCTGCGCCCCGCCTGGCTGATGCAACCGGCCGGAAGCCGCGCGCAGAGGCGGGGCTGGGGCCCCGCGCCCATTGGCCCCCGCGTGTGTCACTAAGGACTGGCGCCGCCTCGGCCCCCGGCTCCGTGACAACGGCGGTGACGTGCCGGAAGTGACGCGGGGCGGCGGGGGGAGCAGGCACGGCCCGAGAGAGGAGAGGAGCCATTAGTAAATGCGCCACCGGAGCCGCGGGCCGGGCCGCCCGAGAGCTGGCCTCGCTCCCCCCCCGCCCCCCGCCGCTTCCGACCCCGCCCGGGGCCCAGGCCTCGCCCCGCCGCTCGAAGCCTCCTTCCGCCCACGCTCACCCCGGGCCCGCCGCCCCGGGCTCCCCGCTTACCGAAAGAGTGGAGGTTCTGGATAGCGGACATACGATACGATTCCTTTTCCTCGGTGGAAATGGCCTGCGGAAGGCGGCTGCGGGAGAAGGCGGGCGGGGGGGACGGATCGCCGGGAAGCAGGGGGCTCAAGGGGGAAGCAGCTAAGTCCTCAGCGGCAGCTCAGTGACTGGGGCGGTGGGGCGGCGCCTGTGCTCCCTTATATAGCCGGCCCTGTGACGCCAGCGCGCTGCCCTCACGTCGCGGCCCCGCCTACGACGCCCTGCTCTCTAGCGCGGGGCTCCGCCGCTTCCAATTGGTCCGCGGGCCGGAGACGCAGGGCAACGCATGCGCAGGGGCATTACTGCGGGAGGGCATTCTCTGGACTCCAAGAGGTGGGAGGGGGAGGGTAGGCTGGGTGCGTCCGGGCGCCTGCGCAGTCGGGTGGTCGGTGACTCGGAGGCAGAGGAGCCGGGGGGGAGGCTCCGGGTGCGCCTGCGCATTGAGCGCTTGGGCGCCGTGTCCCTTCCTGTGCCGATGCCCTCCCTGCTGGATGGGGGCTTTCGCGGGTCGGGCTGGCTTTTTTGGCGGCGTCAGGGCCTGAGACGTGACCCCGCTGTGTCGCGCCCTCCTATCCGCCCACTCGGTCCCCAAGATTTATGGCGGCGCTTTACTGAATCAACATCAAATAATTAACCAAAACTTTAACTTACTGCTTACATTATAATCTACTTTTTAAAGGAGCGGTCCCGGGGGTTGAACGCAGGACCTTCACACTGAGCTACGTCTCCAGCCCTTTTTATTTTCAAAATTTTAACTCAGGGTCTGGCGAAGTCACTCAGGCTGAACCCGAATTTACCACCCTCCCGCGTGCTGGGATCACAGACGTGCGCCACCTCACCCGGCTTCACACAGGGTTTTGAAGACTGAGCAAAAATATCTTAGTATTGGCCTGGGGATTTCGCTCAGTGGCGCTGTGCCTGCCTCTCAAGAACAAGGTCCTGAGTTCGAACTCTGATAACCCCCCCCAAAAAAGAAGAAATTTTAGTCTTATCTGGGCGTGGAGACGCAGGCCTATGATCCCAGCACTCAGAGGCCGGGGCGGGAGGATCACTGCGAGTTCAAGGCCTGCCCCAGCTACGTAGTGAGTTCAAGGCTGGCCTGAACCGCACAGTGGGATCGTGTCTCAAAAAAAAGAACCCTCAATATTTTATATTCATTACTTATTGAAATAATATTTTGCCTATTTTGTGTTAATTAAAATATATTTAAATTAATTTCACTTGTTTCTTTTTGCTTTTTTTTTTCAGTATTGAGAATTGAATCGCGGGGGAGTCTATCAGTGACCTTTTAGTAATATATATAAATATTAAATATAATCTGTATAATCTATATATATAGTTTTCCTCTTAGTTGTGCTTTTAATTTTGAGTCTGGGTCTTGAGGTAGAAGGTAGAGAAGGACAAGGAAGCAACTACACAGAAAACTACCAGGGAAAGAGAAACCAGACAGAAAGAACGACTACATAAAAATATCACCCTGTGCCTCGTGCTGGACAGTGACTGCTAGCGGATCCCAGAGAGAGTCCCCGGGAGAGTCACTGTCCCCAGCCCTCTCATCGCCCAGCCTGGGCTCCTGGCTCCTGTGCCCTCCTCCAGCTGGGTCCTCAGGGTGCTGGGCTAGGACACAGCTGGGTCCTGTGTCACAGAGTTCTGGCTGGGGCGGGGTGCTCCCTCCCTGGGTGACAGCCCAGCCACCCAGCGGGTCCCTACTGCCTCGGGCAGAGCCATTCCCAAGGGGAACCTGGACGATGTGGAATTTTTCTCTTTGAGAAATTGGCAAAGGTCGAGTGGCCTCGAGTTGCAGGACGCTGTGTTGTCTCTGGGGACCTGAGGAAGGCCACTGGACTTCCTGGGCTTTTTGAGGGAGTTACTTTCTTAATGGGGGCTGGTGTTTGAGAGCAGGGTGCAGGTCAGGCACCAGAAAGGGCGTGGGGGGCCACACTGGCCTTGGGGGTGGCGGTGCTGTCGCAGCCTTTGGGCCGGAGTCCGATATTTCTGATTTTTTTTTTTGGTACCAGAGATCGAACTCAGGACCTTGCTCTTGGGAGGCAGGCGCGATGCCACTGAACCAAATCCCTGGCCTCATTTCCGACCTTTGATTCATTCCTTTAAGCAGACGACGGCAGAGGTCACCCTGGCCCAGTGCTGTGTGGTGCATGAGCCCATCAACGTGACAGAGCGGCCCAGGTGGGGAGGGACAGTGGGCATCTCAGGCCCGAGACAGGGCCCTGGTGTGCGTGTGAACGTGTGTGTTTGGCGGGGTGGGTGTGCCCTGCTCTGCCCCCCATGCTCCCGGCGTCTGAGCCCCCTTCCTCTCTCCCGCCCTCCCTTCTGCCAACCCCAACCTCAGGCCCACAGCGAGGCCCAGCTCCTGTGTGTGGGCTGCAGACGGGGGCTGCTTGAGGTGGGGACAGAGGGCATGCAGACCGGCTGAAAAGAAAACCCCAAGCGAGTGAGCATTCACTTGAGCCTGCGCTGCCCACAGACCAGCCTGGCTCTTGGCATCCTCTGCTCTGGCTCTGCATCTTGCTAAGGCTCTGATCTCCTCTTTCCTTGTTGGACTCAGAGCTGAGCCCAGTCTCTGTCCCCTACAACAAAGCTCTTCGCAGCAGCTCCCAGGCATGGGGCTCCTTAGGGTCTGCCCAGCTTTCTGGGCTGAAACCTGCAGGGAGGGGGATGGGAGTCAGGGTCACAGCCAGTGACATAGCAACCCTGTGCCCGTGTGGTCAGCAGGAAGTTAGAGCAGGGAGAATAGTTGGCCTCACTGTTGACCAGAGCTATGCAGACAGAACATGACTGCTTTACTCTGAAATCACCCTACAGGCCCTGGCTGCCATGTGTGGGACAAAGGCATAGAAGTCACTAAAGGGACCCACGGTTCCCTCTGCTTCATTGTCACAGTGAAATGCACACCCCGTCTTAGTTACTTTCTTCTCGCTGAGACACAGTACCGGACAGCTTGAAAGAGTTTTCTCTAGCTCACAATGTGTAGAGGTTTCAGTCCACAGTCGGCTGACAGTCCATGACAGGGCGGCGCGGCGGAGTAGAAACAGTCCATGGCAGGGTAGGCAGGAGGAGGAGAGGGATGAAGGTAGGAGGAAAGATGTAGACCTCTCCTGGCCACGCCCACAGGGACCCACTCCTCCCACCAGGCTTCACCTCCCAACGTCACACCCAGCTGTAAACCCCTCAGCAGACTAGTCCAGCAATGAGTATCACACACCCATTGTGATGGGTTGTATCTAGATGCCCCCAAAGCTGCATGGGCTTGTAGGCAGGTGTGACAACTGGATCAGTCCACTGCTTTCTCATAGCTGTGGGTGATTGCTGAAGAGGGGAGCCCCACCTGAGTGTGGGTGGCATCAACCAAGAGGCTTGTAGCTTGGGTGGAATACAAAGGGAAAGGGAGGCTCGCTGCTCTACAAACTATGAGCCAAAATCTCTCCTTTAACTTGTGGGTGTTGGGTATTTTGTCCCAGTAACAAGAAAGTAACTCAGATACCCATGATTCAGTCACCTCCCAAAATGTCACAGGTCATCACCATGACGCAGTGCAAAGGTTGAGAGATTACTCGGAATCCATGTCCAATTCAAACTCCAAGAAGGCCCAGAGGGCCTGCCCTTAACCGAGACCCTTCAATGTGAGAAAGTCTCATAAGAGCCCCAAACTGAAGCTTCTGTGGCTTTTTTTTTTAGCTTTTTGAGACAGGGTCTCACTTTCTAGCCCAGGCTGGCCTTGAACTTGAGGCGATTCTCCTGCCTCAGCCTTCTGAGTGCTGGGATTACCGGTGTGTGCTGCAGTGCCCTGCTCGTTCAGTGACTTTATTGATAGAACTAGGAGGCACGGATAAAGGATGAAAGAGTGAAGATGTCTGGGCAGGAACTCATTAGGGGACAGGGGAAGCACAGATGGTCAGGGCGGTCACTAGGTGACTGACCTTAGGGCCAATCTAAGTGATAAATCAGAGTATGGGGAGCAGAGGGCCTGAGCGTTCATTCCTTACGGCAGTGTGTTTGATCCTACTCGGGCTTGTGGCCCTGTAGTTCATCTTTTTTTTTTTTTGGTACCGGGGATCGAACTGGGGTCCTTGTGCTTGTGCAGCAGGCAGTGAAACCACTGAGCTACATCCCCGGCCCTCTTTTTTTTTTGAGACAGGGCCTTGCTAGGTAGTCCAGGCTGGCCCTGAGCTCACTGTGCAGTCCAGGCTGGCCTGGAACTCCCGGCATTCTCCCGCCCCAGCCGCCCTCCCCCCAGTGCTGGGGTGACAGGAGCGCACCGCGCCTGGCCTTTTAACCTCCAACCGTGCATTGTGGGAGGTGTTGGCCCTGTGGCTCCGGATCCCTCCCCTGCACGCCCCTCTCATACACACTTCTGGGCAGCACCCCACACGGAAAGCCTCACCTGGGAACGCACCAACCTTTGGGGGCATCTAGACATAACCACGGCACACCCCGCGGTGGAGGCGGAAGGTGGAGCTGCACCGGACGTACCCCGCCCCCCCAGGACGTCAGGAAGAGGGACCCTGCCTGCTCTCGAGCCCTGAAATGCTGCGTCCCCGTCTGGCCCTTTGGTTTGCATCCAGCTGGGGTTTCTGTCCCCTCCACCCCACGGCTTTGTCCCTCCTGCATAAGAAAAGCCTCACAGCTGGGCTCGGTGGCGGATGCCTTTCCTCCTAGCACTCCGGGAGGCGGAGGCAGGAGCGTCAAGAGTTCAAGCCCAGCCTGGCCCTTACCCCCGTCTCAAAATTAAATAAAAAGCGCTGGGGGTGAAGCTCAGTGCAAAGGTCTTGGGTTCAATCCCCAATACCATTAAAAAAAATAAAAGGGAAGGAACAGAAAAGCCTTGTTCCTGGGCCAAGGTGGCTCTGTGTTCAGAAAGCATGGGGACATGAGTCACGGCCTGGGCCACAGCACCGGGCAGCGAGCTGTCCCCGCGGAGGACTCCGGCTGCAGCTCAGGGCTCCCTCAGCCCTCTCTGGGGCTGGGAGTGCTGGCACCGCTCCCGGGGCTTGGGGAGCAAGGGCTGGCTAGACTCGAGGCTTGTCATGGCAGGGCCAGACTCGAGAGGCCGGTGGAAGGGGTGGGCAGGTCTGGAGGGGTCTCCGCAGGTTCCAGGGAGATTTTAATTCATTCGTGAATGAAGTACAGTACCTGGTATTGAAGCTAG